TCCCCGTACCGAACCGCAAAAACTGTCGTCCGATACTCCAAGAGCTCCACGTTGGGCAGCCAGTGTGGGGTCTCGGCGACGCGAACGTGCGCATCGCCACGCCACGCTCTTGGAGTGAACGGACACAGTTGACACGGTCGGTACAAAGCACACAACATACATACATTTATTAACTAATTTAGACGACGATATCGTCCGCTGAATGTTACATCAATTTTAACTAACACGCTACCGTACAAACAACATAACGCAGGGACACACTAAACACACAATAACATTATAAACACACACTAACACACCCAACACACTAGCACATACCCAAGGCGGCGTCGCCAACGCCTGACTTTACACGTGGGACCCCGGCGCGAAGCCCGCGGTTCCGAGCACCGGGGACCCGCGCTACAGACAACCGTTCGCGGCAGCCGCCACGCGCAGAAGAGACCCGCTCAACTGTCGCCCACCACCAAGGCCCGCCTTCCCCCAGGGGCCACCGCCGGCGCTACCACTCTACCAACAGTGGTACTGAAAGCGAACACAACGCCATCTATCGCCCGGCGGTGGTCACCACCGCAATAAAGCCTTGGGGCGAGACACGTGCGCCACGCGGCGCAGACAACTTTACAGGGGAGGGGGGTGTCAGCACCCCCACAACCCTTCTTGATTGGTATTCTGTTGCTTTCTTTATGAAGCACTATGGTAGCAGTTGATCCCCTGTAGATTTCTTCCAGAATGTTTATATATACTTCATCTACGCCCTGATTCCGCAGTGTTTGCATGACGGCTGATATTTCTACTGAATCAAACGCTTCCTCGTAATCTATGAAGGCTATGTATAGGGGTTGGTTATACTCTGAGCATTTCTCTATTACCTGATTGATAGTATGAATGTGGTCAATTGTTGAGTAGCCTGTTCGAAATCCTGCTTGTTCCTTTGGTTGATTGAATTCTAATGTTTTCTTTACTCTGTTAGCAATTACCTTTGTAAATAGCTTGTATACTACAGCGAGCAAGCTGATCGGCCTGTAATTCTTCAAGTCCTTGTCATCTCCTTTCTTATGTATTAAGATGATGTTAGCGTTCTTCCAAGACTCTGGTACTCTTCCCGTCAGGAGACACCTCGTAAACAGGGTGGCTAGTTTTTCTAACACAATCTGTCCTCCATCTTTCAGCAGATCTGATGTTACCTGATCCTCACCAGCAGCTTTGCCCCTTTGCATGCTCTCCAAAGCTTTCCTGACTTCTTCTATCATTACTGGTGGGGTGTAATCTGGGTTACTGCTAGTTCTTATAGTATTAAGGCCGTGGTTGTCACGGCTACTGTACAGATCTCTGTAAAACTCCTCTGCTATTTTAACTATCCTATCCATATTGGTAGTTATTTTGCCTTCTTTGTCCCTTAGTGCATACATCCGACTTTTGCCTATCCCAAGTTTCCTCTTCAATGCTTTGACACTTCCTCCGTTTTTCAGAGCGTGTTCAATTCTTTCCATGTTATACCTTCTTACATCGCATACCTTACGTCTATTAATCAACTTCGAAAGCTTTGCCAGTTCTATTTTGTCTGTTGTACTTGACACTTTCATGATTTGACGCTTCTTAATTAGGTTCTTCGTTTCCTGGGAAAGCTTGCCAGTGTCTTGTCTAACTACCCTGCCTCCAACTTCCACTGCACAGTCCGTAATGATACTCGTTAGATTATCATTCATTGTATCTACGCTAAGGTTCGTTTCCTCACTAAGAGCCGAGTACCTGTTCTGCAGCGACACTCTGAATTCCTGTACTTTCCCTCTCAGTGCTAGCTGATCGATTGGCTTCTTGCGTATCAGTTTCTGTCGTTCCTTCTTCAAGTCTAGGCGAATTCGAGACCGTACTATTCTATGGTCACTACATCGTACCTTGCCAATCACTTCCACATCCTGCACGATTCCAGGTTGTGCACTCATTATAAAGTCTATTTCGTTCTTATTTTCGCCATTAGGGCTCCTCCATGTCCACTTGCGGTTTTCTCGTTTTCGGTAGAAGGTATTCAAAATCCGTAAATTATTGCGTTCTGCGAATTCTACTAGTAGCTCTCCTCTGGCGTTTCTAGTACCGATGCCATAATCTCCTACTGCCTGGTCTCCAGCCTGCTTCTTCCCTACCTTTGCATTAAAGTCGCCCATCACTATAGTATACTGTGTTTTTACCTTACTCATTGCTGATTCCACGTCTTCATAGAAGCTTTCAACTGAAGCGTCATCATGGCTGGATGTAGGCGCGTAAGCCTGTACTACCTTCATCTTGTATCTTTTATTCAGTTTAATTACGATACCTACCACCCTTTCATTAATGCTATAGTATTCCTCTATGTTGCCAGCTATGTTTCTGTGAATTAGGAACCCCACTCCCAGTTCTCTTCTGTCTGCCAAGCCCCTGTAGCAAAGGACGTGCCCATTCTGTAGCACCGTATAGGCCTCATCTGTCCTCCTAACCTCACTGAGCCCTATTATATCCCATTTAACACCCTCTAGCTCCTCGAATAGTACAGCTAGACTTCCCTCATTAGATAAGGTTCTAGCATTAAACGTTGCCAAGTTCAGGTTCCAATGGCGGCCTGTCCGGATCCAGAGATTCTTAGCACCCCCTGCTGTGTTGCAGATCTGACCGCCGCCATGGTCAGTTGCTTCGCAGCTGCTGGGGACTGAGGGCCGTGAGTTATTTGACGTAAGCATGTGGGAGGTAGTGGCCAGATACTGCACCAGGGTGGCCAATCCTTCTCTGGTGAGGGAGTGCGTTCTCGGCGGTGTTTGCCGGTGAGGCCGCACCCCAGGCCTCTTAATGCAGTTCCATCAACACGCGGATTTTTTTTTTTTTTATTCCGGTTGGGAACTGCGCGGTACCGGGATTTGAACCACGGACCTCTTGCATGCGAGGCGGATGCTCTAACCACTACGCCATCGCCGCAACCCCGCTGAAAAATCAGACGCGCATAATTGCCCGGAAGGAAGGCATCCCGGCGCGAGATTTCCGCGCGAGCAACGGGTAAGCCACACTGTTCATGCGTTACAGAGGACTCTCGCTCAGGAGACAGACGACTCTGTCAACGGCTACCTTCGGCGTACGAAGATAAGGTCATAGAGTTTCATCGATTTGTCATTAGAATTTGGGAGCAAAAGAACTTCCTGCTCCCATAAATTGGAAACTGATCAAACTCTGCTCAACTTTGACATGCCGCTAAGCAAAACACAACTGTGGAGGAGATGGTTGTGCGGAGTGTGCATATCAGAACGATGGGTGCCGAGAAGCGGAGGTGCACAGTCATGCTCGCCGTAACAGTGGACGGGCAGAAGCTGCCCCCATTTATTATTTTTACGCGGAAGACCCTCCCGAAGGCCAAGTTTCCCCCAGCAATACACGCGAGTGTACAGGAGAAAGGGTGAATGACCGCTGACCTTATGGTAGACTGGGTAAGAACTGTTTCGGGACGCCGCCCTGGAGCACTTCTTTACCTGTCGCTGCTGGTTGTCGGCAGCTTCCGCAGTCACCTGGTCGACTCCGTTCGGGCGAAGCTGAAGGAGCTGCGGACTGACCTGACGTCATTCCAGGCGGTCTGACTTTGATGTTGCAGCCTCTAGACGTATCCTTGAACAAGCTGATCAAGGATAATGTTCGGAGGCTGTATTCAGAATGGATGGCCGAAGGCGGCCACGCAATCACTCCCGGGGCAAGATAAAGAAGCCGTCGGTGGAGATCATTTGTTCATGGGTAATTAAGGCATGGTCCATGATTTCACCAGAAATTATCGTCCGCAGCTTCAAGAAGACTGGGTGGGATCTCCAACGCCTTGGACGGGACGGAAGACGACACGGTCCACAAAAACGACGAGGGAGACCACGCTGAAGCTGGCGATGAGTCCGATGACGCTGCTATGAGCGACGTAGACGGCAGTCTTGACTCTGGCTCCGAGTAGTTCGCCGAAGAGACTTATTAGCTAGTGACTTTAGTCTGTGCAAATAAACCTTGATTTGGGTTGAACATGTAGTTTCATTGTAAAGGTAAGCCTTGTATCAGCACTTTTCGAAGCTTTTAGTTGCTGGTGGAAAAACTGCAATTTGTGGCAGTTTTTTTTTTTTTTTCTTGCGCTGTACCTTTCCGCGGAAACTTTTCCCCGCATAATTGTCGCACCCCCAGCTTCCATATTTTTTCGGGAAAAAAGTGCGAGGATTATCCGAGTGAATATGGTAAGGAGTTGGGCTGCACATGCAGCTTACGGTCCCTTCGAAGGAAACCTTCACGTGCCTTGGCTGTCTTACTCTGAACTACTTGTGGGGCCGACTCGGGCGCGCTGCTGGCATGAGCCAGCATGCCTGCACCCAGCGTCGATCTTCTGCCTGCCCTGACACACGGAGACATGGTGAATTATGTGGTGCTTTTGACCAGTCATGTCACGCTGCAACAAATCAGGGTTACAAGTCTGAAAACGGCCAGCACAGCTACTTCAACAGTGGAGGAGAAAAAACTTAGCATCAAAGCAGCTTGTATATTGCAGCATCTCGTCCTCGTAAGCAAAGTCGATATCTAACGACACTCTCGCATTACTGTTGTGAAACTTTGTTTTTATCCAGACACACTGGCGTTGACAAGCTTGTGTCTTAAAAGGTGCAAACTCGTGTTGCATCGCAGTGGAAGTGCTGGTGTCGTGTGGGAGTCACAAATGCCCCTTTTGCAGCCTGCTACATAGACTACGTGCCCACTACAATGGCCTTCACCTTACTCTTCAGTAGTTTTTTACAGCAGTAAAAATGCGCAGATGCTGCACTAGTCCGGTCATAACAGCCGTGGCCCAGCAGTGGGCTTGATGCCAATTCAGGATTCGCTTTGCTCATTTATTTCACGTGTTTGCCTATGAAAGAGAACACATTCGTGTACGTTGCCAGATTAGGCAAACTGGCAACGTACACGAAGGCAAAACAGCCATTATAATGTTTTTATTGGGGTGGCATCCGTTGTCTGTTGTGCAGCGGGGAAGACCATGCCCACAATGCCGCCTGGAGTGCCTGCCATGCTTAGCCACCAGTTGTTTGTGGGAAATGCTGCCATGCCATACTATGTGAGTGCCTGGACACTTTTCATACTTCTGAATGTTTTCCTTTGTTGAGCCTCGCTTGATGTGTTGGGAAACTGTTCATTGCGGCTAAGAAAGCAGCATTACTGAAGACCTTGAAGGCCCCTGCCTTCTGTTCTTGTGTGCCAAGAGTCGCGGGGAAATTGGTGCCTGTTCTTTAAAGGCCTTTCAAGAAGTGTTTGCAATGGAAACATTCTGAGCCTACTGTAACATTGTAAAATATTCTAACACAGTTGTGTGCAGTATTTGAGGGTGAAAGAATAGCAACATTGCAGCAGCTGGAAAGACTGTGTCTGCTATTACATGACATAGCTTCGAATTTCTTGTTCAATTTTATCCTTCAGGCATTAGTGTCTTTTTCCCGCAATTTTTTTGGCAAGTTGTGCACACTTGCAGCTTTTCCAGTGATGAGTTTTATTCTGAAATGCATACTGTTGAATGAAACACTTGAAACCTGAGGAAAAGCTGCAAGGGTTGCACTTAGGTCATTGCCATTGTACTGCGGCAAAAGGGTTTTCTGTGCACATAGCCACAGTAGTGTGTGCTGCATAGCCAGCATACACTACATAAGTGCAAGCATTGGTACATGAAGCCACATCGCATTGTTCGAGGTGGATTTGCCGATGCGGCAAAGCCAGAAGTTTAGCCGGAAGAATATGTCGCGAGTTGAGCTTGAGTGGACACCAGTGAGAAATAAGCTTGTGGAAAATATGTGAGAGAAAATGAACAAGGAACACCTGTGGTATACAGTGAATGACCGATTTCTCAAACTGAATTTTTTAACGTGCCTGGTGATTGCAAATGAGTTCTACAGAAACCTGCAGAACTGATTTGACACGCAGAACGTGCCTGGTGATTCAAACACATTAAAGGTATTCAAGCGACCTATTCACTTTTGACCACGACGGTACTTTCGCTGTGCTCGACAAACACTGAAGCATGGTAGGGGGTCCAAGAAACGTTGAATATTGGCAGCTTTCACAAACGTCATCTTCACTGCATTACAGTTTTGCTAAAACTTTCGTACTTTCTGCATTTATGTGTTCCTGTTTCCAGAATTGGAGCTGGCACCCGACCAGCTTATGCTATGTGAGGGCTCGTTCACACATGGGGCATTCAGCGTCTGCAGAAACTGCGAAGCGTTCGTGCTGCCTTAAGTATCGTGTCACTTCCATTGTTCAACCACCATGCCAATGTAGTCAGCGTCAGCAACGAAATGTGCGGCACCACTTAATATCCTCCGTCCAATCGGCTTAGATCTTTTGTTGCTATTTCGCCATTCTGATGCAGCAACTGTAAGCCCTCAAGGAGGAACGCAGGTGCTTTCACGGTTTGCATCAGAAGCAAAAGCTGTCACTTGCGAAGTGCTGCTCGCAACAGTATCAACGCTGGGGAGGAGCAGAAGCAGGTGCAACACTGATCGGTGTGAAATTTGATGCTGCCGAACTGGATTCCACACTTCTTTAGGTGTCGGAATTCTCAGTGTGAACGGGCCGTCCTATGTATTGCACAGCTTAGTTATGTACTTTGGAGGTGCATTTAAACGTGGCATGTGATAATTTTGGTTGCATTTCTGTTTTGTTTCAGTTATTTTGTTCTGTGAAAAGCTTTTGAAAAGCATGATGAACCTGACCTTTACTTTATTTCTCCTGTCCTTTTTTTTCTTTTGTTTTTGTTTCATCCAACCCACAAAAGGGCTTGCAGCAACAGCATTTGTATAGCTACGAAGACATGCAGATGCTACAGACTAGAATGCCACCCCTGGTAGGTCTCACTCACTCTGTTTCCTTGGTTTGAGAGCACTGGCCTTTTCTGTTTTCTTTCCTCATTTCTTCACTTTTCTACTTGGTTTGCTGTGCTGTGCTTGGTTCTTTGCTGCCTCTTGTGCTTTGCGACTATCTGTATTTGCACTGTACGATTTTTTTACCATTCTTCCGCTTGGCGCTTCGTTTCCTCTTTCTTCCTAACTACTTATTTTTCTGCAGTCTGCAAGAGACCTTTGTCTCACCAGCACCTATACTTTCCTTCTTTCTTGATTCTCCCCTGGAGATTTTTATAAAAAAAAAAAAAAGTGCTTCCTAATTCACACTGGCACTTAGGGTTGGTTGGATATGGGGAAGTCTTCTTGACTCGTGTGTTGCCACGGGAGCGCTTGGGGTAGGTTTAGGTTGCGTGCGATAGAGCATGACATGCATTTGGTTCTCTGCCTTTACTGTATGCAATGCTGGCTGAAGTAATTTAGTTCATCATTTACCGAAAGTCTACCTTCCTACTCAATATGTTATTTTTATTAAGACATCTTTATGCTAATCAAAATGCAGAAGAATTCGGTGAAATTATCTCTACTAGTAGAGGTTTCTGGAACGGCGGCAGGCAAGGTCATGCAGCACTTGATGCAGGTTGTTGCCAAGCATGTCATCGATCATTTCAGATAGAATAGCGATGCTTTCTAGGGAATGATGTTTTTGTCTTCACCACAAGCTCCTTAGCAAGTGCTTGCATAACCGCGCATAAAGTTGTTCTGAACGTGAACATTGTTTTATGAGCTGGGTAAGTGTGCATACGTCTAAATCTAATGCAGGCACAAATGCAGGAAAGGGTGGATGCAAATTTTAATTTTGTAGTGGTATAAAACTTCTGTATGCCTGTATGTGGCCTTTTTTTTTATTTGTTTTGTGTGTTCTTAGTCTTATTTCTCGCATCTATCAGCAGTCCCACGTTGTGTTGTCTTGCCAATTTTTCTAGCAAAATTTTCACATGTCTACTATTACATTCTTTTATTTTATTGTTTATTTGTTTGGTATTTTCTCTCCCTCATTGTGAAAGTGCCACTCATTTATGAAAATGACCTTCTTCAGCAAGAGTTTGTAATTTTTCAAGTGCAGGTAAGTCACACCTGTGATGTCACCATTGTGTTGGTGTTTGCATAACTAAATTGGCATCGCTATTCTCCCTGAATTGAGGTTTTTAAAATTGCAACGAATTTACTAGCCCTGACTGTTTGAGGGTGCAGACATAGCAGATTATAAGTTCCTAGGTAGCATGTCTCAGGGGTTCCATACAATAAGTGCCAGTGTGATTTTTTTCTAGCCATTTGTGGTGCTACTGCAAACTTCTTTGCACATCTTTGCCTCTTTATTTGCTAAACCTTTGAAAAGGGCTTTTTCCATTGCTTTATTGTCAACAAGTTTTATGAAACAATGTGTCAAGCATCAATCCGTTTGCACATATTTCCTGTACTCTTGGCTTGGTGTCGGATTATCTGCTTCGGGTTGTTTTTTGCATTGTGCACTTAGCTCTGTGCTTCATCAACTGTCTGGTGTTGGTTGGAGGAACTACAGTGCACTTAGCTCTGTGCTTCATTGTCTGTCTGGTGTTGGTTGGAGGAACTACAGTGTGTCCTTTAATCCGCTGTGGGACATTCTGCCACCAGCAGTCATTTATTGCATGGAAAAGTGTGGCCCAACAAAAGGGCCAAGCGAGAGTACAGGAAGTATGTCCAGCACGGTGTTGCCCCCTTGATTGCTTTATTGCTCTATGCACGTTTGTACCCTTGTCACTCAGGATTTTATTGGAGTTCTGTTGGACAATGCATTTTAGTCTCTGTTATTTCTTCAAAGAGGTCCCTAATGTCTTCTCTAAGATCTCATGGTGCCTCCGTTTTTTTTTTTTTTTTTCCTTCCCACATTTAAATGGAGAAGGCAATGTTTGTTGTAGCATGGCTTTTTTTTTTCATTATTATTATTATTATTAGCAGCAGCGCAACCCATAGATGAGGGCTCGAAGGACATTTGTTTTCCTCAGTTTCTCACCTTTAAAAGAGGTCATTGTGTACCCTTCAGCTTCAGTTGCATTGTTGCTGTGTCAAAAAAAAAAATTTTGCATAGAACTTTTTTTGGATGACCTTCGTGACCAGTGTATCGCATGTTACGGTGTGTTTGCCTAAATGCGCGTGGTGATTGCAGTAATACTAAACTTTCACTGTCAATGCACAGGGTACTATAAATATAAAGCTGTGGTAAATTTTGGGTGACTGCATGCCCTGGCAGGTTTTCTCACGTAGCTGTTTGGATAGGCTGTTTGCAGAACAAGCCAAACACTGCAGGGAGACAGAGCAGCTACTAAAGGCATAAAAAGACCATGTTGGAAGGCACTGCTGAGAGCTGTCATGCTAAGTTAAAATTGAAATATGTTCAAGGCTACGTTTGCCATTAATGTGCAATCGGAGGTACCAATGTATGCAATATAAAATAAAGCTTGAACATTTCATATTTCACATTTTGCTCTTTTAAGAGACTTGCTAGCGGAGTTCAAGTGCTTTTGGTGTGCAAGCAATCAAATCAAAGCAGATTTGCTGATGACGTGAGCAGAGGGAGGACACGATTGTGGGAGGCACAAACGCTTTTTTCCTCAAAGATGAAGAGTCTCTGTGGGCTTTGCTAGAGGGCACTGGGCCCTTTCCCTTCTTTCTCTTCCTCAACCGGGTCAACACAGGGCTACTATGACATGCAGTACCCTGTGCCTGCCACAAGCCTCGCCGGACGAGACCTCACGTTGAACAATATGGCTTTTGCAGGTGAGTAAATGCTGCTGCTGTCCCACTGCCAATAAGTAAAGCTAGCAAATGGTATGAGGGGTGGTGGATGCAGTGGTTTCTTGTAGAGTTTGCTCACCATCTGTGCCGGTGAAAAAGATCGGTCTTGTCGCTTGCACGTGAGCTTTGGGCATGCAGAAAGCAAGTAAGCCCTCATTAGATAATCTTTCTTAAAATTCGCAATTCTATAATTTAGTCGGTGCCTTTTCTTGTATGTTTTATTAGTATTTATCATAATTTTTGCCACCGAGTGTTAGTTCCACACGTAACATATATGTATGCCATACGGATGGTGGAGTCTGTTTCGTTTTTTGTTTTTGCTACCAAAACAGCTCTTCTCTTTTTTGCCTAGTCAGTCGTGACACTGTGCATTTCAAACATCAAATATTTGTTGGGGGCACCTATTTTTCTGCACTACTTAGTTTTACTAGGTTTTTATGCGAGCAGTTAATTTCTTTTATTGTTTGAAGATGGACACGGCAGTTCAAGTCTTGATGTGCACACTTGCAGCTCCTCCAATGAGGATAACTTCAACATTGACTTTCGTTCTCCTGAGTAAAGTTGATGACATGTAAGAACTGAGGTGGAGCTGTAGGTTTTGCACTTTAAGGATGCATTGTGAGAAATTATTTATATATTGTCACACAAAGAAAACAGTGGTTTTTCTAGAAGAACTTGTGCACACACTCACTTGCTTTCATGTAGCTAAAAAGAATGGTAACTATAGGATATTTTTCAGTCCTGAAGTGTTAAGAAGAATAAGGGAAAAAATTATCTTTGAGATTTATAGCTTTGTGTTGGCCACCCATCATAGCTATGGCATTAAAGAAGAGAGTGCATTTAGCACAGAAGCTTTTAGCTTGTACCTATACTTCTTTAACGTTACCATATAGAATCTGCACATGCGCGAGTGTTTACATTACATAATCTACCCTCCGGATTGTCTTTACATTTGTGGCTCTATCACAGAAATTCACCTTTGTTCGTCGGAACTCGCGATATTCGCATTGTGGGGACTCCAGCTGTTGAGTCAAAATGAGCCAATGTGCAAGCGCGCAGAGATTCCATTGGTTCGGCTGAATCACCAAAGCTAGAATGCCCTAGAACAGCTTAGAACATCAAAACCACACGTGTGAGCACCACAACAGGCTGGATAGGTGGCGCCATCTAGCGGGGCCAAAATGAACCAGGCAATCACAAAATTGTTATTGCAAAAACATGGATTGCACGCCTGGTGTTAAAACTGCGCTACAGCGTTATTACGAATAAGTGACCTTTTCAATCATTTTCATTTCGAAACCATTACTCATAAGCCAATGTGACTGGTTGCACAACGTGTTGCAAGATGTCGACACCATCGTTGCAGTAACCTTGTATTTCTTCACCCTTTTGTGCATACGACGATACTGTGCACATTAAAGAAAAGTCTCAAGATTTCAATCCTATCCAAGTTAAATATAGTTTATATGCAGCTAGCATTAGCATCACCATTTATGATTTCACAAAAATGTGAAGACATAGATTTACGTATGTACAGAAACGTTCACGTGTGTAAAGCTAAAACATTGAAAAGCATGCGTTCCGGTAAGATGGTAAACACAAACCGGTATCCAGTAACACGTTAGCGTAAAGTATACAAACAAGCTAAAAGCCGCTATTCACGGCTATGGTGGTCACATTTTAGGGGGCAGACTGGTCTTAGACATTATTTTGTTTATTTCTTCAGTGATCTTGATCAAACTGTCTAGTATTATGCAGTTTTGTCTGCTGATTTCAAATATTTAATTAGTTTTCCTGTCACTCGTCTTGTTCCCGAGATAACCTGAGTGTGCCCTCTATTGTTTAAGGCTGCCATAGAAAAAAGGGGCCTAATTAAAAGTGATATTAAATATATGCAGTTAAAAACAAATGATAGATTGATATATCTACAAGAGTTTTTTGTACAAGAGTTTTTTTGTTGTTTTTAGGCCTTGGTTATTTTACCACAATATGAACTATTCATTTTCAAAAGCAGTTGGAATGGTGTTACAATTTTGATGAGTAATTAATTAAATAGGGCTTGGGCTCTAAATTCTGCTCCCATACTTGCATTCTACACACATACAGGTTTCAATTACAAAAAGAATTACCTGCCCTAGCTGCAGAGATATTGAGCCCTCGAAATTGGACAGTCATAAATTTACTTTTTTGAGAAAAATCGAAAAAAAACTGAAAACACGTAGCTTTTTCAGAAAGCAACAATCATGGTGCACATGTTGTGCAGTCCTCATAAAGGAGGTGCCCATAAATTCGTAGCAGAGCATCTAACACAGGTGCCGGTAATTTATAAAGAAGCCTCAAAGTCTGTTCCACATTTTTTTACAGGTTCTCCATGTTAAGAGCACCAAGAATCTGGACAGTTAGAATGACATTACAAAAAAATTGCCACTTCCTGGTGTGTGAAAATTAGCAGAGATAGAAAAATACTTGCAGAAACCAAATATGTAAAAATGAATTTTTTTGTCACTTTTTGGTCTCAAAGACCAGTCTGTCCCCTTAAATTGTGGTGAAATGTGCGTGTTGAAGTAGCCCACGTGGTTACAGCACGCTCACGGAGGCAATAAAGTGTCCCTCTAATTTAATAAGTGCCTGTAATTGCATTTGCACATGACTGAATGAAAAATGGTGAACTTGAGCATGTTGGTACAGCTATAGTGCACAAAAAAAACAACAGTGGTACATCTTGGACACTGCACTATCCCTCAACACTGCATCAGTGTCTGCTTACCACTGTTTTGTTCCTATTGAATGCTGTAGGTGTTGATGTAAATGGGAGGGGAAAAAATTATCGTGAGTTATGCTACATTTTGAGACTGCATTTAAGCCACAATATTACGAATTATTGGTTGAAGTTCATGAAGAATAATTTTGTCAGTTTCACAAGTATGTTTATAACGAATTTTCTTATATAAAGAAGTATTTTCATGGCAGGCCCCTTTTCAGATTGTCTTTAATACTCTGCTAGAGGAGGCCCCAATATGTGCGATGTGAACACCACCAGTAGAACAGATGCCAACTTGCGGGCGTGCCATTGTCTCCTTGCTCTGCAGAGGGTAGCAAGTTTGGCCGTGGTGAGAACAGCGACAGCAGCCCAGGCACAGTAGCTGGGGTGGGACCACAGGGGGCTGCGGCCGGTGCTGCGGCTGCTGCCCAGGGTGGGGCCCAGGGTGGACAGCAGGGGGCACCCCCCACGGCAGGACAGCAGGCAGCAGCCAGCCAGCCGTTTTTGAGCACACTGCCCCCTGGGTATGGCTACTACTACCCATCCAACATCATGCCTGGATCCATCCACCACTACGGACCGCCGCCCATGTTCCCTGTGGGTACCAGTGACCGTCTGCTCTTAATTATACGTGCTTGTTTGTAGAGGGGGGACCGTCAGGTTGTGTAGCACAACCCAACCCAGCGGCAGTTACGTTCATTTGTTTTGAAAAAGCAGCAGCAGCAGATGTGGTAAAGCTATCTTCGATAGCTTTCTTCGCTAGTTAAAGCACACTCTCAAACCTCAATATAAGGAATCTTCGGTAATAATGAAACAAATTAAGAATAGCTCTATCATAGATACAGTGCTACAAATTTTCTGATATAAAGAAGTATTTTCGGGGCAGGTGCAGAGGGTTGCGGGCTTTTTGAGATCAGTTAGCATGTTCCTTAAAAAAAAAAAAAAAGACCACCGTTTTCGTTTTGTTTTTCTTCGGTATAATAGATCAGCCTTTCCAACTTGTTTGGTTTCCAATGTTATGGTTGTGGTGGGGCTTGGGAGGCTTCGGAGTTTTTTTTTTAGTTCTGTGCATTAGTTTTTACGGCCTTTACTTCGGCAGCAGTCTAGTTGTCAGGGTCTTGGATTCTCCTAACGTGCATGATTTTGCGGGGCTTTGTCAAAATTTTGTGCTTTAGGGAACAACTTAGAGCATTTAGTGACATGTGCTTGAGCGGGTGCACAAAGTGTGATTGGAAGTAGCTTCTCTCTTACAGTTCCACGCCGTGCGTTCTCATGCCACGCAAGTGTTTAACTTTAGCACGTCCACCCCACTTAGCGTTTTTGGGTGGCGTGCTTTTCATTCCTTCCGTCTGCACTTGAAGCCCTTTTCTTCCTGGCTTCACTGTTAAAATTTAGTAAAATGTAAACACTAGCCTAAAGTGTATTTTTTTATTCGTGGTAGATAACGACAGTGCTACGTAGTATGACCTCTGTCATACCTAGGAACTAACACTGTGGAAGCAAGGAAAGAACATTAACAGTATCATGACAGTGAGGCATGTATTGTACTCCCACCCTATTCAACTCTTCTGTAATGGCTATTTACATAAAGATCAAGCCACAGCAGTTTATAGAAAGTCCTAATGTGTCCATTTTGTATATGCAGCCAACTGTCGTCGCAAATGCCCGTGGCCTATTGCAGACACTGTGGCTATTGTCACTTTCAGCCCTTCTTGCAGTCAGTGTTGCTAGCGTATCATTTTCAGTCGCAACTTCCATTCACAGGTTGAGCATATTGCTTTTGGTATGCAGGCAATTTGAAGTCTCTCTTGCTGCCACATTGCATGACTTCATTGCCCTGTTGATGGGGCTCTAATGCTGTTAGAACCTGCCTGTCAGTTTTTCCGACTACAACAACACTTATTTGTTTGAAGGAATCGTTTTACTCTGACGCATTGATAATGCACGTTTATTTTATGTAATTGTGGAAAGTAAATTTTATGTTTATTGCAGGTTCACAAAAGTAGCGTCACTTTTTTTTTTTTCTTCGTTCAAGGCCGCTTATTTAAATGTGGCTAGTCAAGTCTTGTAAAAGATGTTCATGAAAGGTTTTCCCATACCTCAGCATTGCAGTGCTCTGTTAGTGGCCGTGCAGACTGCCGTCTAAGGTCTCTGTGCAGTGTCTTATGTTTAATTCGGGTGCATGTTAAGTGAGGTTGCCCTATTTGCAGGCTAAAGACTTAAATGTGGCTGTTGCATGCGCAGAGTAGCTTTATTGTTAAGGTGGACGGGGCAGTTCTGACCCCGGGGTGTGTTGTGTGGCAGGTGCCTCCAGCGACCAACGCCCACGGCCCCACCACAAGCGCGCAGTTTCAGAAAGCCAGTGCGTATGCATCCCACTCGTTCACCTCCGGTACGTTTGCCCATTGTCAGCTGTTTATTCTTCTCTATACTTGTTTTTCTTTTGGACATTACAAGTGCCCTTTGTGTGATTCCCCTCATTTACGTACTTGCCAACAATGCAGCCCTTTGTCACCGCCTGTGGCCAGCCTGGAAACACCTCTAATTTAATTAATAGGTTCTATTATAGATTTTTAGAAACCATGATAGGCACTTTTTTTGATGACGGCGGTATGGAGGTACCATTGTGCGTAGCTTTAGTTGCTTTAAGGGGAGACGCGGGTCGAAAAATGCGTATTTTTATAATTTTCGATTTTCTGTTCTTGCTTGCTTTATCGTCATTGAACATCCTAGTTTCATGCAGCAAGATATAAGAACAAGATTTGTGCAAGAAGTTTTAAAAAAACACAACTGAATGACTCGCGGTGACTGCAAAAATCACGAATGCAGCCATATTTTGGCCATTTTCGAACTGCCGCCACTCAAAGCACGGGCGCCGGCCGCCATTGTGAAGACTTGCAAAAATTGCACAAAGCCTTCCTCTTTCGGCAGCTACGTCAGTCGGTTTCGTACTTGCGTGTGAAAAATATAATAAAAAGGTTTTTCTGCGCGTCTTCCAAACGCTCCCGCTGTCACGTGACATGAAACCAAGACTGCCATTGGCTACCGCCATGCTTTCAGAGCCATTCCAGCAGTTTCGTATCCGCTCACTTCGCATCGCCATTTAGGACTAGTCTAGTCAGCGTTATTTTCTGCTCTACGTTTTCCGCGATGAATGACGAGAATAAGCGTAACTTTCGCCTCCGCAAGGACCGGACGGCGTGCCCATACAAGGGGAAGTGAAAACAGAAGCGAAGAAAAGCCACGAGCGCGGCGGACCCAGCAAGGGACCCAGCAAGCCCCCTACGCCAGCGGAACGGCAGCACAGGCAAGGGCGTCTGATTTTATCAGCGACGCTTTCAACTTCTCTAGCTTCAACCTTGCTTCCCTTCTAGAGCTCCGTTGCACAAACGGGGCGTGCCCAGCAGCAGCAGTTTCGGCTGTGTATTCGTCGGAACGCACTGGTGCCAATGGCTGTGAGGGGTCTGACGCGGAGTGGTGCCATGGAAGCCCTCGCGATAGTTTCGCCATCAATGTGAAAGTAGTGCTTGCTGCGCGTTCGATTGGTGTCGGACATTGCCAGCTGACAAGGTTTTGTGGCATTCTTGGCTTACCAAAGCCACTTCACCATAATACTTTTTACAACATTGCCAAGAAAGTGCACACTGCTGCCACCAAAGCAGCCTCAGACAACCTAGCAGAAGCAAGACAAATAACCGCACTACAAACTGATCGGACTGACGTTGCTGTCATGTTTGATGGGACGTGGCAGAAGCGCGGGCACAAGAGCCACAATGGTGTTAGTACTGCAATTTCGTTGGACACTGGCCTCTGTCTGGACTATGAAGTGTTGGCAAACTACCGCCAAGGCTGTAGCAGCCACAAAGCCCTTGACAACGAAGAGGAAGAAGTATGGCAGGCCTTCCATTCTCCTGTGTGTGAAAAAAATGTGGACTGCACATCACATGCCATGGAAACACAAGTTGCACTACGCATCTGGAGCAGGACGCAGTCTTATAACATGCAGTTCACCACATTTCTGAGCGACGGCGACAGCAAGGCATATGCTGCAGCCTGTGAAGCACAGGTTTATGGGTCGAAGGCAGTGACGAAAGGAGACTGCACAAACCATGTTGCCAAACGTCTTGGTACTGTGCTTAGAAAGCTGAAAACACCACTGCCCCGTGTGCAGAAGCTCAGTGACAAGACCATTCAAAGGCTGCAGAACTATTATCAGATCGCATTAACCAGCAACCGGAGCAGCATAAGAGGCATGTTCTGCGCAATTTGGGCCTCGTATTTCCATTCGTGCTTCAGCAATGAGGCAAACAGCCACAAGTTTTGCCCCGATGGGAAAGAGTCATGGTGCAAACAAAAGAGAGCCCTAGCTCTGCGAGAACCTGCTCCTGAACACACACCCTTCCTGACCAAAGCACAAGGCAAAGTACTGCTTGCCCGCTGTTTGCAAGGGAAGACACAAAACGCCGCTGAATCCTTGAATGGCAAGATTTGGATGTTGTGCCTTAAGAGTCGTTTCGCATCACGCGCTGCAATGGAGACTGCCTCCGCCATTGCAGTGCTGTGGTTCAACAGGGGCCACTCCAGCTTCGAAAAAGTGCTGGAAGAACTGGGAGTCCTTCTTTCAAAGCAGCTGGTCAGACTCAGCCTGGAAAGTGATCAGAAAAGAATCCGGAAGATGTCTGTCAAGCTGACTGCTGAAGCCAAGTCCCATTGCCGCAGCCGTGAAACGAGCCCGTACCGAGGACTCTGTTCGCAAGAACCGTGACGGCGAAACTTATGCAGCAGGAGTGTTCTAGTGTTCCAAGTCTAGTAATAGACATGTCAAAGTACATTTACACCAAGTTTGATTTAATTTCAGCAAGAATTTTGGCATCCTATGTTCAAATAAACTTTCATTTGAGTTTTTCTCAAATTGGTGTTTTTGCTCATTTTTAAAGTTTGTGCACACAATTTTTGCCTCTTCTACTTCTTGGATCCCAATGAAATTTTGCACAGATGTTCTTTGGGGTGCATAGAGCGTGGAAATCTTGTTTATATGTCTAGTCTCACAACATATTTATTATAGTTCGAAAAGAGAATGACACCTTAATTTTCATTAATTTTTTTTGTTAGAAAATGCAGATAAAATTATTTCACCTAGATATCAGCATTTTGTGGCTTGTAATGAACTACCGAGTGTGTTTTAAAATGCTCTGGCATAATAATTACTAAGAAAAATTGTCTGCCAAAAAAAGGCATTATTTCACACTAAAATGTATTATAAAAATCTAACTACTATAGCTATAAAAAAAGTGATTACATATATCATAACAGGAGCTCAATTTACACCAACTGTGCAAATTTCAGCCCTCTAACTTCATTATTAAAATTTTTTTTTTTTCGAGGAGCGTCTCTTCTTAAATTTTATATGTAGCCCTCTGTAGAAAATTCCTTCACCAGCCATTGGCTGCAGCTAGTACAGAAATATATTGGTACCTCAAAAGGCTGTGAGGTACCCCGTGCGTGGCAGAGGTGCTATGCAATGTGTCTATTAGTATTCCTACGGCAGTATTTCGGGCAGTCTACATTTGTATGTCATTAGTCTTGCTAGGTCTACTCTGAGGGCCCTTCTCGTGCAAATGTAAATTTGTTTTACGGTTCTGGTAGGAATGTGGGGATGGTGCTTCTCACCCGCTGAGAGGGCGCGACTTCCAGCGGCTGTCGCTGCTTTTCATTGGGAGTGAAATGCAAAAAAAGAAAGCCACTGCATTAACTGAGTTTGGGTACATAGCCCCTGGAGGTTAAAATCAATCGAGGGTTGCTCCTAGCTCTGAAGCATGTGTCGTAACCAAATTGTAGTTTTGGCACACACATCCCCAGATTTTCCTTCTGAAAATGGTGCTTCTCTGGTGGAGTGACGATGTAAAGGGTGTGGTTAGGAGGTATTTGTGGAACTTGGTAGGTTTGCAGCAGTTGTGCTCGGCTAGTTCAAAGTGTGAATAAAGTCTGTCGTTGGCAACTTGCAGACAGACTTATCTATCTTTGTATTCCCTCCTTTTCTCTTCCAGGCGGGTATGATGGCCTAAGTCAGACACCAGACTATGCCAAAAATACCTACGGCGCAGGTTCACAGGGACAGGCTAAGGGCATCTCAGGTTCATGTGAGTAGAAGAGAGTGACGCACGTCGCACTGGTGCAGTTTTTCTCGTGTTTTTTTACTCATCCTATGCACCTATTCTGTACACGATACTGTTGTTCACCATCTTTGTTGTGCTTCCACTTGCAGTTTGTGAAGTTTGGTGTGTGCCTTCTTCTCTATTTTTTTAGGCAAGACAGAAATATCATTGAATGCAAACCTATTATTGTTTGCTACCCCCTGCTTTTTTTGTGTGTGTGGGCAGTGCCTTGTTTGCCGGGACAAAAATGGTGGAAAAGAGTTGAGAGAGGGCAATGCAAAGGGAGAGGGACGCAGAGGAAGAAGCTAGGGCACAGTACAACGGATGTAGCCTTGCAACATAGGGCTTTTTTCTTATCCCTTGAAGGAGATCGTTTTATTTTTATTTCGCTCGTGAGCGAATCTGGGGGGTGAAATTTGTCCCGGGTAGATTTGTTGGGAGAGGCACGTGGCGGTGTTCAATGGTGTCAAAAACGAAGAACAAGACCTGTGTCTCTCTTGCAGTGGGTTCGGCCGATGCATCCAGGTCAGGGCACGCTAGAACCCACCCCCATTTAGCAAAGGTACTGACCCATGGTTTCTCCTCTGTGTTCCTCCTGCTCTTACTCTCTCTCTTCTCTCTCTCTCTCGGCTGCTGCTTCTTGCCTTTCCTTGGCAGGTGCTGCCTGGAGAACACTTTCCTTCCTCTGCTTGCTGCTCTTGCCGCCACGAGGGCACTTTTCTGCCTTTCTCCAAAACTTTGAGCGTGCATAGTGCCCGCCACTCTGGGAGTGGGCATTCGTTTTCTGTTGAGAGTTGTTCTCTCTCTCAAAGTTCACTTTCACGACCTCGTGGCCCTTATACCTTTGACGAGTGGCTGGGGGTAGCCGCTCATGGCTGCCTTTCTCATTCCCCGGGAATCTCCGTGCTTGAAACCCTTCTGCCTATTGTAATTTGTTAATGGCTAAAATGATGTTTTCTGCCCCTTTCTGCATTTTTTTCTGATTGATCCCCCCCCCTCTTTTTTTTTTTCATTTGCTGCAGAAGAGATTGTTTATTTGTTAATTTTTGTGTATCATTGAAACCTTGAAAATGCATGCCCTTGATAGAATCTCTTTGATACATTCTTGATCTTCCATTTGACCCATAGCTGTTGCCCAAGCACTGCTTGCTTTGTGGCTTCACATGTCCACACTTTTAAGTCTTCAAAGAATGTATCAAAATGGTTCTACTCTGCAAAACGTGTTTGAACGCGAGACTGTGTAAGTGCAGTGTTCTTCACTTGCATGAAGTCTGGATCTTAATTTGTAGTGTGTAATGTTGGTCAACGGTCTTTCAGTGCTTTCTGGTAATGTTATGCAATTGCCTTTGGGACACCGACAGATATTGATCTATTGATCTCTGAACTCCTTTGAACCTGTATTGCCCAATTCTTGCAGTTTTCAAAAACTGTATCACGTCACTATTGCTCGTCATCAAGGATGATTCCTTGTTGTTTTCTCCTCAGAAATATGCCGGTAATGCTAGCTGGTGCTCTTAGCGTTGCTGTCATTTCATTTTTAGAGATAAAATGCTTTCTCGTGATCAGTGCTCATTTCGTGACTGTCTTGACTGAGCATTTGACAGCTGCGTGAATTGGGCGTAACGTGCCACTTGTCTCGACGAAAAAATCTGAACGGGGGTTGTGATTACATGAATGCATTGCATAAAACTGTTCTAGCCTCGAGGTAGTGGTGGTAGAAAACATTTTATTACAGAAAATGTATTGGAGAGTTGCGGTATACAGCATGCTTCAGTGATAAGACCCTATTCCCGGACGCCAATGGAGTTGGCCGCTGCCCGAGCACGACTCACCAAGGAGCATTTAGCATCCAAGGTGAAGCAGTCGAGCAGGTACACCTCCCAAGCCTCCATAGTTGGGTGGGGAAAGGGGATGGAAAAGGAAGGGAGTTGGTGGGGCGCGAAGCAATGACGTGGTGTCGGCCAGGACCTAGCAGGTGCCACTGATTTCTGACAAAAAATGTCTGGCGACCGCCAGACTGAGATGGGAGTTCGTCTGGAAGCGGCGTAGTATTCACTCGCCCGCTTTCTCCAGACCACGTGCGGAGTCCGGGTAAAGGCGGCGCGAAGCCCAATAATAGGCCAGAATTTAGCGGAAGGGCATCGGGTTCGTGTTGCTAGATTTTGGCCTGAATAGAGAAGCGCGAGCAGCGCCGTTAGCTGCCTCTTTTGCCGGGCAGGGCCGAGTGGCCAGGGGCCGATACTACAGTTAAACCTAGATATAACGGAATTGATCAATTCCCAGAAAAATTTGTGATAGAAAGGTTTTCGTTATATCTAGGTTTGGTACAAAAAATTATGAAAATAAACGCGCAAATTAAACAAAAGGGGACTGAAGGCATAGCTAACCCCAAACACTCATTTCACAGTAAAAAACTGCATTATTGCAATAGCATTTATATGGACCCTCTTGGCGGGTTCTTGCTGTCGCCGCCATGTTAAGCAACAAGTCCAAATTGTCAACATGCCCCCGCACATCGTTGTCAACACCATGGGGCGCAATAAACTATGCACACGCACACAGCTTTGAAAACGAAGAGCGAACGACACAGACACGGTTATGCGGAAACTATTCGGTAAAGCACCCTCCATATGCAGCGCGGCCCCACTTATGTGATGCTAACTGAAAGTGTGGCACTGCCAACGCGCAAAAGTAGTTTGTTTTTCGGGGGGGGGGGGGGGGGGGGTAGGCCCGCCTACCCGGCTCATGTGGACGCGGCCTGCCGCTTCGGCAACGGCGGGGCAGCGGCGGAAGATGCATGCTGGTACCAAAATGCCGAAATACGGGGCAAAATTCAAAGATTGTCTGTGGGGAAAATTTGTTATATCAAGTTTGTCTCCCGCAGTTACTTTGTTACATAGAGGTCGCAAATACGTGTGCTCCTATGAAGCGACGGCGGGAAATAGAAAATTTTCGTTATATCCAGGAATTTGTTATATGGAGGTTCTTTATAAGCAGGTTTAACTGTATACTAATGGGGTAAGGGTTAAAGCGCCAAGAGGCTGCCCAAAGTAGGTGAACTGCCAGCTGGGCGATGGAGCCTTGAAGGCCGAGCACGAGTCCATCAAGATGATGCGTGAGGTGGTATGCGAGGCAGCCAAAGCAATGGCAACTTTCTCGGCTTGCGTCGCAGTGTTGGCTCACAGAGGCCATCGACGTGTTTTCTCTGTGATCACAGCAGCCGTGAAGTGGCCCGAGGGAGGGGGGGGGGGGGTGAGACGTCCACGTAGAAAACGCCAGGGCGATCAGAGGGTCGCGCCTGAAGGGCTGCGGAATGTGCTAGTCTATGACCAGTATGTAGCTCTGTAGCTCGGGGTTTGTGCTGCTGCTAAGTGGTTCCACCCGCCAGAGTTCTGGTATAGGCGTCTGAGCGTCTTGGTCAGCGATCGCATTGAGGTCGAGCCTATGTAGTAGATGTCGCCCTGAGGGCGTTTGCAACAGACGATTAATTCAGCTAATGCGATGAGCTTGCCGCAGCTCTGAAAAAAAAAAATTATCTAACCCCGGTGCTGCGAATTGGCTGTTGGAGGTGGCAATGAGACGTTTGTATACTGAACGAAGGAGGGCGTCCAGCTGATGCTCGTGGTGATAACGCAGGCGAAGGTAAGGTAAGGCATACAGGACACGATTGGTCACAAACGCATGGGTTGACCGCATGGAGCTGGTCCCACGGAGGCCGCCGCGCTTTGAATGATACCCATCATATCGTACGGCTCACCTGCTCGCTGGTGCGTCTGAGGCTTGCTTGGGATCCAAAGGGTACTTGGGATCCAAAGATGATGTGATCGAGGAAGACAAGTTCGCTTGTCTTAAATGTGGTCCGACACAAACCCCGTTTATGGATTTTTTCATTACAAGCTTAAATTTTCCCCTATAGCCATTGTCTGGAGGAGTTATTCAAAAGTGGAAAGCTGTGCAACAAGCAACTGCTTTTTTTTTTTAACAAGCTGCATGTGTTTTGCACTTTCCTTGTCCTGAAGGTTAATACGAGCTTGTTTTTCTCTTTCCTCCTGTCCTTGGTGCCTTCCAGTCTTTTGAGAAGCCAGGCTTTCTGGCAGGCTCGCAGTCTTCGGCAGTTGCAGCATCCTCGGCAGTGGCGGCAGGCCACCAACAGCAGCCTGGAGGCTCGTCTTACCCGCAGTTTGCAGGACCTCGCGGGATCACCACCTTCGTTGGCAAAGCAGCAGCAGCAACAGCCAAGTGGCCATGTGCGCCAGGGATACCCCTCCTACTGGAGCAACTGAAATGTGTTGTGCTTGTGTGTCTCCTCTCTCTGCAACAGTTACTCCCTCCTCCTCCTGGCTCAAGCAGTTTCTTTTGACTCGTTCTCACCCAGACCTTATGTAACAACTCCTCCCACTTTCTCTGTCAAAGAGGGTCGGGAGCAGAAAAGGTTGTCTGTCTAAATGCGCTCACAAGACAGTCCTCCCCCGCCCTTTTTCTGCTGTCACCCCTCCCCATCGGTACATTTTTCATACTGTTTGCAGTGCTACGCTGTCTAAATCTAAATCTGTCTAAATCGTAGGTTGTCTAAATCATAGGTTGTCTAAATCATAGGTTTCCCGACGGCTGGCTGCTTGTGAGAGCGGGTGTGCAAGTCTGTGGTGTCTCGTGCCTCGGTGTGCTGTGGTGGTGCCTGCTCTAGTGACGGTCATGTTGCCCACTGCCGTGGTTTTCCTCTCTTTTTTTTCTCTGCGTTAAAAGACCATATTTTTCTTTATTTACACGTCTTGTGTTTTACGCTTGGCCACACTTTTCTTCCTGTACCTGGCTTTTCTTTTTCCCCCTCTTTTTATGCCATGCAGTTGCTGCATTGTAGCCCCTACAGGCCTTTGTTTCTTTTTCTTTAGTTTTTGTCGTGGACTTGTATGAGAGCGAAAGACTCCGCGCACGCACTGGCAACTGCAGACTCAAGATACGTTTTTGCGATCTGTGGAAGCAGGACCAACTATGTTATCAGGCCTCGCGTAGGACAATGCAGTGATTTTTTTATTTTATTTTTTTTTTCAACATATGCTGCTGCACTCGTGGGTTCTTTCTTTAATCTTTCTGATGTAATTTTCTTTCTGTATCTTCTTTTTTTTTTAATGCATTGCACTTTGGCCCATTGGTCTTGTTTGATGTACTTTTTTTCGTTCTTATTTTTTTACACAGAGACTGCCTGCCGCCAGCCAGTTGTAAGGAATCTTTTGGAAAGCTTTCTTTTGCTGTGTGTCAGTGCACCATTAATGCACCCTTAATGTCGACCATTAGCACTGAAATTTCTCAGCGAAATTGGAAATTTTCAAAAAAAAAATGTTTAGCATTGATGAAGTGTACATTTTCAGTGTATCTTAGTCAACTGAAAGTGGGGGGCGTTTAGATAACAGGCTTGACCTGCTTTTTTTCTTTTGCCTTGGCCTTCTGGAGCCAGAATTTTTTTCTAGCTTCCCGAACGGTTTTATTCCCTTTGCGAATGGTTTGTTGAAGCTTATTTCTTTTTCCCTGTAATCGGTACCACATCGAAATGGCAATGCTCCGTCTGTTCGAAGCCCTGCAAGAACAAGAGTTCGAGCAAAGACTCTGCACAGCACGTTGAAATAAAACAAAAGGAGGAAGCAGTACAAAGTGTACTGAAGACTTTGCAAGGTCCAAATGGCACATTTCTTACTGCATTGCGCAGGACTGAGGGCTTCTTTGTTGTGGAACTGCCGGTAGAGAATGAAACCGCGAAGGGAGCTGAAAGTCGTGCGCTTTTTTTTTTTTTTTTTCGCAATAATTTTTCTTAGCTGAACTTATCCCATTTCGCCTTAGCTGAACTTATCCCATTTCGCACGCTTACTTTTCCTTTCTTTCGTTTTGCTTCTCCATGGCGTTGTGTGCATGCACTCGAGAGTGGTTCTTTTGTACATATATTTGCCAGGAAGCGATATTGTTGTGAGCACCTGGCGGCGTTCATATTGTACGCCATATTTTTTACGGCTTTTTCTTTCCTTTCCCCTGCATTGGTATGTGTGTGTTGTGTGCTTGGGTGTGCGCATACTCCTTTCATTGCTTTTTTTTTTTTCTATTGTAAAAAACATATTTGTCAATGCAATTAGCATTGTCTTGTGCTGGCAGGCAGGCCATCTGTTTTGTTGTAAAAGTGGGGAAACGCATCACCTCCACTTATTTCTTTTTCAAAAGCAAGCTGCGTATAAAACGAAAATGCATAGAGTGCGGTTGTTGCGTTTACAAACTATAATTTCGACGATTACGTTTGTCGGGGTGTCTGTTTTAAGTGGCGCTTCGATTGCGTTCGATGAGAGAACGGCAGCAGCCACCTGCAGTAGTGTTTTTTTCTACTGAGCCATTTTTCTAATGTTGTTGTCGTCCTCCTCCTCCTGTAATATTTTTGTGCTCGCCCCACCACCTCCATTTTTGTTTGTGAAGTTGACGTACATAAAATATATATATATAATGTATATGTATACATATTCGTAGGGAAAGTGAGAAAAAAAAAACGGAGCAAACAAGGAAGTCTCTATGTAAAGTTGTTTCACCCCCCACGCAAAATGGAGTAAAATGTGTGGCAATGCTGTGTGAAATCAGGACGAGAAGAAAAAGAAAATAAATGTTTGTAAATATATGAATATACATTTTTGTTTGTTTTCTTTTTGACTGTGTTTATCAGCCTCCTTGCAGTGCAGAATGCTCATGGTCTGATACAAGCATGCAAATGGGAAGAGTTGGTAGTTTCTGTTTGTGTGGTGAGAAGGTGTGATATATAAATATATATAGTTTGTGACGAGAGGCCCCAGAAAAAAATAAAATACTTGTCATTAATTTTGAGTCGAGTGTTCTCTGCCGCATTTTTGCTTTTCAGTCCATCCCATGCGAGATTAATGTGCGCTCACCTTACGAAGCCTGCTGTAGACTTGAAAGAACTAGTTTGGGTTTATGGTATTTGGGTGATCTGAAGGCCGCGGCAAATTTCCCCAACAGTTCGTAGTTACCAATAATTAACGATGGGAGTATTGACTATAGTGACGACACTGCGAAGAGCTCATTGTCAGACCCTAGGATTTGAAGTCTGTCCAAGTGTCTCTATCGGGTGATACGCAATCTTCGTAGCTTGCATTTGCACCTGTTATTTGCACGAAGATTCTTCCAGAAAAGAGTTACAAAACATGCACAGGAACATCTCTGAGTTATGCATGGTATGTGGTCTGTGCAGAGCAACTGGTACACAAATAGCTTGCCCAGTGTATATTAAGTCTTCAAATTTTTATTCAAAACATCTTCACTGTTATGATTAGCAGTGAATAGCGAGAAATGCAGTCAATGCGATTCTGTAGTGTACTGTGCAGTGTCTTATTGGCAATGTAGGGGCACCGGAAACTTTCATCGATGCCAGAGACTTTCAGCACATCTCGTTTAGGTGTCTCGTTTATGCTTACGTATGTGAAACGAAGGTTTCAAACTGCATGCATAAGTTTGTAAAACAGTATGGTATTGGCCATTATATATATATGTGTGTATATATATACATCACTTCAAGTAACCATGAAATAATATGGCGGGTCAGTAAGCTGGAAGAGCTTATTGACTCGCGAATTCAACGCGGCAAAAATAATCGAATCCGTCCAGTTCGAGTGGAGTTGCTGCAGTTGCATGCTCTCGTCCTGATAAAAGCGCTGAAAGCTAAGCAGGGAGAGATGGCAGGGTTACTTTGACAGGTTCGCAGAGAAACGTCATGTGCGTCTCGTGACCTCGAGCTGCTTTTTTTTTTTTATCAAACTTTTTTCAGTGTGAATTAGTGGCGGCCTCCCATGGTGATCACTGTAACGAGGGAGCGCGCCATGTTCAAATCGGCCAATAGCTGATCTATGGGATGACGATAGTTAGAGCGCGAGAACAAACGACGACGCAGAGACAAGAAGGACACGAAAGACACGAGCGCTCGTGTCCTTCTTGTCTCTGTGTCGTCGTTTTGTTCTCGCGCTATAACTATCGTCATGCCATACCAACTAGCCCTAAGCTGCCACACTTCTATGATATATGGGCTTGCTCATAGCCACCCAGAAAAAGTAACAAGGCCTCTGAATCACCTCCTCCAATCGTCTATACGCCACGACTGTGAGACAAGTGAGTGAGTGAATGAACTTTTATTTGGTCCGGCAAAACGCGCACCTGGCTAATCCCACGACGAAACCGACAGGTCTAGTCCTGCCGGCTCGATCACGGGCACGCTGGACGGCCAGAATTTGGTCTTCGAAGACGGGACTTCGCAGGAGCGTGTCCCACTTTTCCTTGTCGAAGGCATGGGCCCAGCGACCCGCACTCCCAGAGCACGTGAGGCGAAGTAGCAACCTCGCCACAAGCCGCGCAAGAACTATTCGTGTAACTTTCCGGATAGATACTATTAAGGAACGCAGGATTATGGTAATGGTTGGTTTGCCGAGTCTCAGCGTGGTGGTCAGTTTAGCTTGGTACGCGGTGGCGGGAAGAGCCTTCTCTCAAAATTTCATTATCCATTGTGCTTGCTAGGAGCGTCCCTGTGTCCAGCAGGAAAGTGGCCTAATTCGAAGGCAGCGTGGTCGGTAAAGCCACGCGCAGCCCCGTGGGCAGACAGTGTGTGGCGCCATACAATAAAGAACCAGTGGCGCTGTCACTGTTTCTGGCGCCTCAGAATATGAGCTACTTGCCGCGCTTTCCGGCCTTTCCCAGCTCTATCTGGCAGTTATCTTTAAAAACGAAGGAAGGCGCGCCTGTCTTGGAGGCGATAAGGTGTAGAACGCAAAGCGACGGGCAGGTGCCACCACCGTGTCCGTCTTAGGAAAGCGTTGGAAACACTTGCCTTTTTCAGTATCGCGTTGCACTGTCAGAGCAGCGTGATAAACGCTATGGTCCTTAGAATTACTTGTGTGCCTTCTCTGTTATAAAGACACACATGCAAAATATCGACTTGTTGTGACGCCAATATTTATTTATTTTTTTTCAATTCGCAATCGCACAAATAGGAACGCTGAAACTTGAGCAATATTGGTGGGCGCTGCGGATGGGGTTGGCCGTTTGGGGAATAATTACGGCGGATAAACAGACAAATGTACAGACACATCAAAATTTGGCGTCGAAGGTCCCCAAGAAATACTCTAGGAACACTTCAACCTTCACACCCATGTGACCACACTAAGGCAAGAAAAAGCAGATCAACTGACATATTCAACAATAAAAAAACCTGATTGATATGTGGGGTTTAACGTCTCAAAACCACCATATGATGTTGAAGGGCTCTGGAAATTTCAACCACCTGGGGTTCTTTAATGTGCACCCAAATCTGAGCACACGGGCCTACAACATTTCCGCCTTCATCGGAAATGCCGCCGCCGCAGCTGGGATTCGAACCCGCGACTTGCGGGTCAGCAGCCGAGTACCTTAGCCACTAGACCATCCGCGGCGGGCAATGCAAAAAAGAAAAAAAACTCGATATATCCCACGTGTTATAGCCCTCTCTCCAACAGCATAAAAGTTATGATTCTAAGAACCCAACCTCGCATGTTGGGCTATAGAAGGCACGCTAATGCATTGTTGGCCCTTTTTTTATATTATATGCTTCAATATAAAGAAAGGTGTGTGAATGTTGAAGTTTTCCTGTTTCGTTCGCGTTTTTGCCAATAAAACTTCAGTTTGCGAGTCAGCGCTGCGGTTCGTCTCCCCCTTCTTGTGTCCTCGTAATCGTGCGCTTTGTTAAAATAGGTTCAAGGATAATATTGCCGTTTGAGACGTCATACAGCAACAGCTTGCGTCATACGTACAAGAACAGCTTTTCCTCTCACATAATTGTTCTTTGCCTTTAGTTGGTTGTGAAACTTTATTGTGGTCCTGCAAGGCGTGCGTCAGCGCGCAGCTGTGGGTGACTCCCACATAACATAACTTCATTTTCCTTAAAGGCCCCTCGGGGTGTATTACATAAGGGGTGGGTTAACGTATAATTTTTTATTGTCCACAAGTTTTTTTTTATTGCCACAAGTTTTTTATCTCGAAATATGGACACATAATTGATCAAAAAATGATGATCAGCATTCAGTGGTGATGACATCATGGGGAAAGTCATTCCAGTCTTTAGCTGTCCGTACAAAGGAGGACATAGAAAAGGTAGTCGTCTTGATCCGCGGCCGGGCAAATGACACGTGCGGTGAGATATGCGGGCCGGTGGGGCGATGTAGGGATGACGAAGCGTGCTGTGAAAATTTTCACAAGGCTGAGACCAGAGATGCGGCGGCGAATGTCGAGGCTTAAAATAGCCGATTCTTTTTTGAGCGATGTTACTTACATGTATGAGTAGGAAGAATGAATGAACCTGATGGCACGGCTTTGAACTGCCTCGAGTGAGTCGATCAGATAGGCTTGTGTAGGCTCCAGACTGCAGATGCGTATTCCAATGGTCCAGCGATTTCAACGGTTTGGGACCACTGGTCCACTGTCGGGACCGTTGGCCCAAAGTTGGTCGGCCAGGAGGGAGCTCGTAGGCCACCTTCCCAACTAACCGAAGGAGTGTCGGGTTTAGTGTACATTTGCCTTGCACTCCAAGAGCATGTGCGCCAGCGTGGCTACTTCCCACATGCGGGACAAGTGTGATTGGAGAACACGTCATGATAAATAGCGTGAAGGGATCTCAGGTTAGGGTGCGTGTCGGTCTGCAGTAGTCTGAGCGTAAGTGCCTGTGGCCTATTAAGAGTGGATATAGTCTTCGCGCGAGGTAGAAAAATGTTTTGTTATTTCGTTGTACTTGGCAGGTGCGTCCCTGTTTTCTGCAACTCCGTTGGCCCCGAATCGTTACCCGGAAATAGCGCGGTCTCGTGGGCAGACACGTTGAGGTTGGGGGGAGCGCCTTGGACCTGTCCAACATATGTGCAAAAAAAAAAAAAACGAGATCAGTACGTGATGCTTGATACTGTCGCGGCCGCGGCGGAGGAATTCCGCGCACGGCTTTCTTGGAGATGACACCGCGCTCGAAAGCGCGAATAGCTGACCTAGAGTCACTATAGATGACCTCCATTTCACCATCCAGGATGGTCAGGGCGATGGCCACTTGCTCGGCACTCGTCGGATCGTCAGTTTGAACCGATGCGCAGTTGTTGACGCATGGCCTCCCCGGCTTGGGAATGAGCACGGTGCGTGCGACCTTCCACGGGTCGCGGACCTCGCCGCTCTTCCATGTCACGTTGATAACTTCGGTGAGGTCGGTTGACGAATCATCTTTGCCTCTAGTGTCTCTTTCAAATATATTCATTAGAAAAGTTTGTGGTCTCGCGAATCGACTGCCGCAAAAGCAAAAAAAAAAAAACCGTTAATTCAGTATGAGCGGAGTTGCAGGTACTTGTAACACGCTTTCACCCATATACCAATGAGTGCTTCGAAAACCGCCCGAGTGGGGCGAGGAGGATTGCAAGGGGGCAAGAATTTACTTAGTTCTAAAGAATCCCAATCGAAAATCGCCCGAAAGAGGGCTCTGCCACAGTTGCGGGCTGCGCCCACGCTGGAAGACCAGGGTCCTCCGCCCGCTCGCAGGCCTTCTGGACTGCCGAGGTCTGGACAGAGCTCAAGCTACACCGTTCAACAGCAAGCACTATGGTGATGATCGCCTCTATTAGAGTGTACTAGAACCTTGTTCTAGTACATTCTACCTCTATGAATGGCTCACACCCACTCTAGGGGATACGTCTTTTCTTGTCATCTAGAAGATATGCCAAGAGCGTCATGACCTTTTAGCACTTTTTTTTTCTCCAAACATGGTTGTAATCCCGAGCGAGCGTGCAGCACATCAAGACATCCTGCGATGG